GTGTGTCTTTTCCACATTGTCAAAAGATTTATGTAGACTATGTTTAATTTATGAAGCATCTGAAATATCACATGAAGCTTGGTATTTTAACTAAGTGTCCTGTCGAAGGTTGTGATAAGAGCTATAAAATTGTGCAATCATTCACGGGCCACATGTCAAAATGCCATTGGGCCAAGCCTGTAACCAATTGTCCTGCCCCTAATCATGGTGAATCTGTGGATGTCCTCGAAGAGAATTGTGCTATAAATTCAGACTTGTATCTTGATGATGAGGGCGAGAATGAGTTCCTACTTGATGATGGAGATCTATCAGAGAAAGTGGTTTTAGAAACAATGTGTCAGTTTTTTATAAAACTGGAGTTTGAATTGTTTTTGCCTGCTACTTCTGTGCAGTATATTGCATCAGAGCTGGGTGCACTTCAATCTCAAAATAGTGACATTGTAGAGGACAGGCTAAGAAAAAAGTTGAAGAATTGTAATGTCAGCAATATTGACGATATTGTTTCATATGTTTTAAAAGAGAATCCTATTTCTAAGGTGCAGGAAAATTTGAAGTCTGATTATCTGAGGAAAGAGACTTACAAAAAGTCTTTTACATTTGTTAAACCAATTCCTAAAACATCTCGTAAAAAGAGTTTCTTCTATGTTCCCTTGAAAGAGACTGTCAAAGCTTTATTTTCTGATAAAAGTACCAATTTTGTATTGTCTCCTCCCAAATTTAGTGATGTTGAAGATGTTTTACGAGACTACACTGATGGTTTTGTATTTCAGAACAACCCTTTTTTCATAAATAACCCATCAGCATTGCATTTTTTGTTGTATCAGGATGCCTTTGAGGTAGTTGTGCCAATAGGTCCTGCCAAAAAAAAGTACAAAATGTTGGCTGTGTATCTTTTAATAGGCAACATTCCAGTGCATTTAAGATCTCGTGTTAGCTCTATCCAACTTGTGGCCCTATGTATAGAGAATAACTTTGAGCATAATGCTGTCTATGGTCCAATAGTAAAAGATTTACAGGATCTTGAGACTAAGGGTGTTTATATTTCTGAGAGTGTCGGCACAGTCAAAGGTGGTCTTGTGTGTGTAATTGGAGATAATCTAGGTGGGCATGGACTTGGAGGGTTTGTTGAACAGTTTAGCACATCTATTTATTTTTGCCGGTTCTGTCATGTTGAGAGGAAAATGTTCAATTTAGAAGGTGGTGAATTAGTATCGTGTGAACTTAGAACCAAGCAATCCTACATCGATTGTTTAGAGCAAAAGGGAGCTCGCAAAAAGAAAATCTACAAGGGAATTAAGTTCAATTCTGTTTTCAATAAGTTGAAGTATTTCCATGTTTGTGATCCTGGCTTAAGCCCCTGCCTGGCTCATGATCTTTTTGAAGGTCTTGCAGCTTATGATTTGAAGTTGTATATTGATTATTTTGTTGAGAAGGGCTGGTTTACCTATGCAATGCTTAATGATGCATTGGAAGCATTCAGTCTGTCTAGCATTGATAAGAGGGACCGTCCCATTCCAGTACTGGAAGATCAAGCCAGAGTGAGAGGTGGTGCTTGGCAAGTGTGCACATTCCTTAGACTGTTTCCACTGTTGATAAAAGATTTTTTTTTGGATAAAGAAGCTCCTGTAGGGTTGTTAGTTCTCTCACTTATAAAATTGTTGGCTGGCGATAGCGAAGCCTGTTACTCCAGGGGGGTTGAAAAGTTTTCATGTCTGTCTGTCTGTCTGTCTGTGTTCTGTGGCACTACCCCTCCTGAACGGCTTAGCCGATCTCGAAAAGATTTTGCACACTTCTTGGGTATGTCCTTAGCTCGGCACACGCGAAATGTCACCATCCTAGCTCGACTGGTTCAGTTTTTATACCCGAAAAACACCTAAAAAACGTCGAAAAATAGAGCTTTATGCAAAAAGATCACTTCCGGCTTGGAGAGGGGGGGGTCTGGGGGGCGGACCCCCCCAGCCTCGACAAGTTAAAAAGTGACAAGGGTCAAGATCGTGTTATCTATTGATAAAAAAACTTTTTTTAGAATGTAGGGGGTGTGGGGGGCGGAGCGCCCCAGCATTCAACAATTTAAAAAAATAACCGACAATGGACAAGCCATTGCCTGCCGCAGGCAGGCTAGCGCCGCAGGCCAAAGGGAGGTACGCCAGGCGTGGGTTGGAGGAACAGGCAGCGAGACATCGCGAAGCCTGTTACGACCAGACGCGGTCTGGCGTAAACCCACCTTGTAATTGCTCCTGTTATCCATAAGTCATATTTGCCTTATTTGCAGCTGTGTGTCAATGATTATATTAGCACAAGGAAAGTACTCTTTTCTGAGCCTTTAAGACCAAAACATCACTATCTTTGGCACTATTCTTTTTTGATATTGGCCTTCGGCCCTTTGATAAGAGTCTTTACCTTAAGGTTTGAGAGCAAGCATGTTTTCTTTAAACGTTGTCTCAGATCTTCACGTAATTTCATCAATCCCACATATTCTCTCTCACTGCGGCATGAATTGTATCAAGCGTATATCAGAAGTGGGTCTGATAAACATTGTAAAGTTAATGTAAAAGGTGAAACGGAGTTGTTTTTGCACACCTTTTCTGATGAAATCCAAAGAGCAATTGTTTCAAAGAAACTGCCTGTCAATGTCAGTGAGTGTTCAAGTGTTGTTGTGTCTGGAACGACCTTTTGTAAAGGTAATGTTGTTGTTCTGGGCCAAAAATCTTATCAGTGTGAGGTTCAAATGGGACGTGTTGTTCTCATTTTGCATGATAATCAAGACGGTATTTTTCTTCTTGTGGAGAAAGTGACAACTACTTTTATTCCTTACTTGCGTGTCTATGAGATTGGACCAAAGATTTCCTATGAATGTGTGTCTGTGGATGACCTGGCAAGCCATCAATCGCTGCATGTTTATTCAAATGATTCTCATCTCTATGTTAAACTGAAGTTTGGACTTGTCTTTGATCATCTTGAGTAAAACTTCTATTTTATTTTTGTCTTTGTAATTTGTGTCTTGACAATGTATTATTGCTACTAATGACTAAAAGCTACACCTCAATTTGCTTCTATTGTAAGTTTTAATAATTCTTTTTTGTAATTTGTATCTTAATGTATTTGCTGCTGTGATAATTTTATAGAGACCCACTCATTTTTTAATTAATGGGCTTAGTTTTAAGTTTAATAATGATAATAAATAATTACACACCTATCTGGTTTGTTTTTTTTATTATTTTGGAAGGTTAAGGAGTCAATATGGAATGGCTGGTACTGCAGGCAACTCACACATACAAGCCAACACTGCACCCATATGCAAGCATTTAAGATAATTTTTAAACTATTTATGACAACACAAACATTGAAGTTTTCTTTCATTTAGTTAAAACGATTCAGTCTTGAGTGCCATATAAGAGTCGAGTCTTTACTATCTCTGAGTACGCTAGAATTTTATGGAAGCCACTTCGGAAACATTGGATGACTTTCACTCCAATGTGTCAGGTTGCCAAGTTGATTTTGGTAACGTTAGTTCCACAAGTCTTGTAGTTCACATAGACACTTGATTATATTTGGCTTGTAACTACACTGAGACAAACAAAACTGAATTTCATTGTTGAGAAAATAATTGCTTCATAGGCATTCTAGAATGCATTCATATGTAATTTTAACCAAGATAATTTTTAAACTTTTTACAACAAATATCTAAATATCCTTCTACTTTGTTAAAATGAATCAGTCTTCAGTGCCATACAAGGGTTGAGTCTTTGTGATTACTGAGTGTGCTAGCTTTCAATCAAATCAACTTCGGTCCTAAACATGGTATGACTGGTCTTAACTGACTGTGCTATTGATGGAGAGGGGCAATATCACAAACTCAAAGACACATAAATAATAAAATTGTTAGCCTTTATTTATAAAGATAATTTTTAAACTATTTATTACAAAACAAACATCTAAATATCCTTCTTTGTTAAAATGAATCAGTCTTGAAGAGTTGAGTCTTTACAATCACTGAGTACGATAACTTTCAATCAAATCAACTTCGGTCCTAAATATGGAATGACAAAGCTTAGCTGACTGAGCTATTGATGGAAAGAGGCAATATCACAAACTCAAAGACACATAAATAATAAAGTTGTTTACATTCCATTTACATTCCATTTACATTCCAACACTTCAAAAATATACAAGAGGGATACTTGTTTAAAATGTACACGAATCTTGTTCTCAAATGTACACAAATCACAGCAATGCAGGTACATTAAGTCTCTGTTCACTATTTGAAATGAAAAGGCAGTCAAGGGAAATGTCTGGACAGGACATACTACAGAAGATATCATTTCTGAAACAAAATTAACAACACATTAAAAAGTTATCATTCTATTTAAATAACTGAAGTTATTACAGACATATCTTGACAAATGGAACTTACTTTATGCCACTTAGATGCACGAAGCACTGGAGAGATCTGTTCATCGGCTAGGTTGCTTTTCATTCCAGAGCGTATAGGTGAGGGCATATCGTTAGGCTTGTGATTCTTCAGATAACCAATTTCCCTTTTGCAGGATGCAATCTCTTCAATCAGGTTGTCCTTCTCACACTCCAAACAAACTGTTTTCCTTTCAAAGCTGCTCAATATCTCACTGAGTGCTTCAGACCCAGCTGGCAATTTTACAATGGCCTTCCTGTAGGCAGCACAGTGCCACTGTAAGTGCTTTACGTATCGCCTGTAGCGCTCGAGTGCAGATTGGCAAGCGGATAACTAAAATGATAAAAAAGAGACTGACAGATGATCCAGAACTGGTGCGAAAACGTCCATTTAAATGAGAATGTTGAAAAACTTACCTCTTCATTCACTCGATCCAAGTCCTCCCTAGGGCAAGTCCACTCGGTGTCGTGACCAGCACATACACTCTTGTCGCTCTTGTCCTCGTCCCATTCTGTTTCCGACGATGAACTCATTGTGATTGCAATTAATTATCAATTAACAACTAAGATTCTTTCAACCAGCACCGTGCAACAAACAGCTGACAAGTGACGTGAACAGGACAATACGATCACCTGTTTTGAGCCGGGGTTTTGTGTTGCCAACATGCAAAACTGAAATCAGTCCACAATATTCGTTTATCAGTAATAAATATGACTAAAAATACCAACCATCTTTAAAATTTAATTAAAAACGATTATTTTAAAATCCGATTCATGTTTCTTTCAACATTTCCAATGTCATGCTGCCGTGAATTCCGTGCTTTAACAAGTTGGGTTGGTGTTGTTTTCGTCACACCACAGGAGGCTTTGGCCGGCCGGCCGGGAGGCCGTCTCCGTGCCATGAAGCCTATGAAGCGAAAGTGAACAAAAAATTGTAAGATTATAAAACCGATGTGAAACCAATTTTGGATCTCTTTTTGGTGACAGTTGGCAGGTTGCACACCTGACCCGCAGTGTAGAAGTCGGTTCGCCCAGAAGTGAGAGGTGAGTAAAGTGGAACTTTCTCTTTCGAACCACGGTAAAGTTCACCAAGCATTTACTTTAGTTTCACTCCAGTCAGCCTTGTTTCTGTAAAATTGTTGTGGTCCCAAATGTTCAGTAATTCTGCGGTTCATGTGCAGAGTGAAAAGCTAGCTAATTAAAAGTCGTTGAAGTTTAGTGTCGTGCTCATGTAGCGATAGGCTTAGTACTTGATTTCTGCAACAACATAACCTCATCTAGAATAGGCCATGCCCCAATTTACGCCGATTTAACTTTTTATTTTACCAGAAGCATAACCTCGTGTACAATACGCGTGGCTCGTGTAGCTATTGACTCAGAACTTCGATTCTGCTACGACATAACCTCACCCAGAATACGTAGGCCATACGCCTAGTTACTCCAATCTAACTTGTTGTTTTTCCAGAAGCCTAACCTCTCGTATGACACGCCTGGCCTTCTCTCGCCTCATCCTTTCTAATTCTTTGCCTGGGTTTTGTTGCAGTTTTCCGATATTCAAGTTATTTGACCCAAGATGTCACTTGTAACTGTGACTTCTCCAGACAACCCTGAGAAGTTCCTTCTGATGGGACAGAGTGTGGGAGACTTACTTAAAAGTGCTATTGAGGCCTTCAATTTGCCTGCAAGTGAAACTTATGAGGTATGTCAGAATAGTTTGATTCTCATTTTATTGGTTACATTGGTTTAGAGATGTTCATATCTTTGTTTTAATTTCAGATACGCCGTGAATCTGATGGTGTCAAAATCATCTCTGATGATGTACTTCGATTCCTTTCTGGAGCTACAGAGAAGGATGGAAATTTGACGGTTGTGATCTCACCGGTAACCAATCCTAACTTAAATCCGGTAACCACTCCCAATTTGAATGGAGGTAAATATCCTTCTTTTAATCTGGAACTGGCTAATTCTCTTCTTGTATTTAGTTTTAATCTTCTTTTTAAAATATGATTGCAGGTGTTCCGGTAACTTCTCCTCCTCGCATTCCTTTGTGTCCGAACCGGCCTAATGTTGTTCGTCCTCCTTTGCCTATGAGGAACATAGTGGACAGTCTAAATCCTATTCTGGATATTGCTTTACACCCTGAGCTACACAACATTACCCCTGGCCGGTTCCTGAAGCAAAAGAAAGCGGCTGTGAAGGAGACTTACCAGGAAGTGGTGAAGTTCATCAAGGCGAAGGTGAAGTGCTACTCTCACGCAACAGCTAAGCATTATGCCCAATTGGTCCTTGGATATGATGGTGGCAAATTTAGCAAACTTTTTGAAGTTAAGGTGGGCTCGTCAGTTAAGAGCGGCCTGGGACCTTTCACGCTGCAAGTATACAACCATTTAAATTATCGGAAAGATGACACTGAGAAGAGGCCTCGTGGTGCAAGGAGGCGTCTTGAATTAGGTGATGATGACAATGAAGATGATCCGCAAATCCCAGCTGACATGTCATCTGCTGCCTATGGTTGTGTCCGTTATGAAGAACCCTTACCCATTGAAGAAACTGAAGAGTCTCAAGAACAGAAGAGACTTGATCTTCTTTCAGTGGAGCCTGATTGCGCTGAGGCTGAAGTGCTGATGGAAAAGACTTACGTGTCTCAGAGAATCTCCATCAATCGTGCAGTGCCCCTCAAGAAAAGACTCCCTGAAGTTTTCCGTCAGTGGCCACTTCTCAGGCACCGCAAACATTTGTGCCAACATGCCAGCCGACTACTTGGCAAGGATGTTCAGACTGTGTGGTCTTCTGCTTTGGGTGAGAAGTGTGGCCGCTTCAGTGATTTCATGCTGACTCATTGGACAACGGAAGACAAAAGAAAGAGTTCAACTTTATCCCGGAAAATGTTGGACCTTCTTCAAGAAAAGGAGGCTGCTTCTGTTAGCCTGAGTCTGCAGTCCAATTGTCTGGCTATGTTTCCTCTATTGACTGGATTTTTGAAGGACCAAGAGGGGCTTCTCTTCAAACTTGTACCTGTAAGTGTTGTGCTAATTTTGACATTTATTTGCATTTATGTTTCAAAGTTTAGTTCAGTTTTTTATCTTCTTTTTTTTCACTTTTTCTGTTTCCAGGCAGCAACATCAGATGATGACGTACTAGGCCAAATCAACAGTGATAACCCACTCCTTGTGATAAGAGGTTTGTTTCCCTGTCTTCATCATTTGCATTTGCTTGTTGGTTTGAGTCATCTAACATGCTTTCTTCTTATTACAGGCCAATCATTGTTTGATGTCAACGCAACAGCTGATCTCTTCATCACACGTATATGTATCCCACCAGACAACCCACTGGATGGATTCCTTCTTCTAATTCTTGCCTATTGTTGGGATCCTGCCTTCCTGACGGCCCCCGGCACCCTCCCCCGACGAGCCGAGCCGAGCACCCCAGCAACCGAGCCCGGCCGAGGCCGGCCATTGTCGCGAAAACCATAAGAAGCGGCACCCCGGCGCCCCGGGCCCAGAGCACTGCCGACCGCGACACAAGGAGTACTCGCGCTCATCACAGTTTGACCAATAAACCACCTGCGTTCCCAGTCGCCTTTCCCTCGATCCCTGACTCGCCCCCTCTAACCCTCACCCACCACCCAGAGACACAACACTGGTGGCAGCGGTGGGATTGAGGGAGGACGGGCCGAGCTCACGGTGAGAGGTTAGGCCCAGCCAGCAGCACAGCGGTACGACAGCTTTCGAACGGGTCACGGGGTCACGTCCCCCCTGATCCCTTCGCCGGCCTAGTCCACGCCTGCACCAGCACAGCGGAGCGACAGCAACCGAACGGCCTACGGGGTCACGTCCCCCCTGGGTCCTTCGCGAGCCTAGCCCACTGCACCGAGTCGCCCGGCGTAGCGTCAGGAGGTTCACGGCACGGTTCGCCCTTGTCCTGTTCTCCCTGCCGTTGCCCGACGCGAACGAAGACTCCCCGTTGCTGAACCGGCGTGGTTCCGGGCGGTTTCACGGCGACCCCTGCCCTGAGCCCCCTGTCGCCACCCCGGCTCGTTGACACACGACCATGCCGTCACACCGTCGCCGTCGGTCACCTGAACGTCGGACTGCCCGAGCTGCCGCTGCACACCAACACCGACCGGCGCCTCGAGTAGCCGTTACCCGCAGCCGCGCACTGCGCGCCGCGGCCCACCCTGCTGAAGTCCGGTACGCGCGGACTGCCGCCGCAAGCGAGGCCCCCGTCGAGGTGCCGCAGCCCTGGCCCCGGCGACAACAACCACCACGCACGTCGGCGCGCCGCTTCGCCGCCCCAAGCACGGCGCGTTCCTCAGAGCGTTTTCCTGAACCGGTGGCGTCCTGCTCGCACCCAGTGGCGAGCGTGGCGGCTTGCACGCCCCCGCCCTCGTCCCCGGCCGTGTCCGAGGAAACCCCCGTCGCCGTGAAGTCAACCGGTAGCCAGACTGACGTCGCCGCCGTTGCCCCCGGCCTCCTGCACCAACCGCCACCCCCGGGCTCAACCTGGTCGACGATGAGGCTGGCCAGCCCCCCGACGTACGACGGCAAGACGGACTACGCGTACTTCAGGGCCCAGTTCCTTGCCCTGGCGGCGCAGCGCCCCGTGTCGGAGTGGGCCGAGGCCCTGGTGGCGGCCCTGCGCGAGCCGGCTTCGCATGTGCTAGCCAGCTTGACGGCTGCGCAGTTGAGCAACTTCGATGCACTCGACGCGGCCCTCCAGATGCGGTTTGGCCAGCCGCGCCCCCGCAATCAGGCCGTGCAAGGCCTCAAGGCGGCCCGACAGCAGCCGGACCAGACCCTGTGCGAGTTCGGTGCCCACGTCAGCCAGCTCTGCCGCGAGGCTTACCGGGACGATCCGGTACTCGGACGCAACCCCGCCGCCATGGAGAAGATCGTCCTGGACAACTTCCTGGCGGGCATCGGCGACTCGGCGACGCGGCGCCTGCTCCTCATGTCCCGCCCCACCGACCTGCGGTCCGCCCTCACGATTGCGAGTGAGCTGGAAGACGCGCCCCAGGTGAAGCGAGTCCGCCAAGTGGACGTCGAAGCCGCAACCGTGCCGCTCCGGGACAACAACACTGCCGTCCAGGCTCTCGCCTCTGTCCTGTCCGAGCTGGCGGCCGCCGTCCGGCAGGCCGGCACACAGTGCGGCCGATCCCGAAAAACGCGGACATAAACGACTTTTTCAATTTTGAGCTACAATTGTTTCCATAGTGGGATTCGAAACTAGGATGATTCTTACGTCTAAAAACAGTTTACTCATATTTTTGCACACCCGAGAACGTCTTCTGTAGCCCTTCAAAGATACGTGTTTTGGCGCCAACGAAAGGGGCAACATAACCTATACATGTTTCCAAAGCTTTTATCAAGTTCCTTGAGCCACCGAAGCAGGCCGCGAAAATGCCCCAGGTACAGCTCGATCCCTCGTCTTTCACGAGCAATAAGGAACTTTACCAATATTTGCAAAATAAGTATTCTAAATTAACTTTTTCCTGGGAGCCCGCGCGTCTTCAAATTCATATAGTTTCGATTGAGATATAAAATGATTCCCGGGGATTCCCGTCGTTTGGCACACATCAAATTAAAGCTTGATACTTCCTTGATCGATTCCAACAAAGATTGGGCCCAGCACGCCCCAGCCGCAGCTGTGCTGAGCAAGTATGTTCCTTGATTTCTGCACTTGTCGCCATATTTCCACCTTAGTGGACGGGTCGGTATCGATACAACAATCACAGCAGGGACAGTCAAATTGAGTCTCCTCAAGTTTGGAGGGTCGGTGAATCCGTCCGTGACCGCATTTTTGACAAAACAGGGGCGGAACCAGGAACAAAAAGGGGGGTAAATTTTGAAATTTGACCAAATTGTTTAAAATTTTGTATTGGGGAGTTTTAAGGGTATCTAAATCCATTTTTGGCAATTTTGTTGACCTATCAAGTAAAATAGAACTTTCCCCCCTTTTAACTCCCTGATCCGCCCCTGCTATAGCAAAATTAAGTTTTGAAATGGATTTAGAGACCCTGAAAACCCTTGGATGCAAAATTTCAGTCTGTTTGAAATACTTTTAAAATTTACCCCCTTTCATATTTCTGGTTCCGCCCCTGCTGTATCAAAATTGAGGTAAGAAATAGAAACAGAGACCCCGCAAACGTATCTGGGCGAAAACTCGTCGGCCTACGTTTGCTAGGAACAGTTTTTTTAAAATATGTCCGTCTTTTTCGAGATCGGCCGCACTGTGCGGCACCGCCCCTACGCCCGCGCCGCATCAGCACCACCCGTCGGCGAACGCGCAACCTGACCACCTGGCGGAGGCAAACCCCCGCACGACGCAGTGGTCGCGCGACGGGCGTCCCATTTGCCGCCACTGCAAGGAGGTTGGCCACGTTTCCCGAGACTGTGACGCCTGAGGTTGGACGGAGTGTGCGCGAGGTGTCCTTCCGATGAGGCCACCGACACCCTGCCCGGCGACGACGCGGCCACCAACACCCTGCTCGTCGACGCGGCCTAGTTGGAGGGACCTCCGCACGAGCCCGCAGGTCCGCGTTCGACGTGCACCCCTGCGTCCTGGCCCAGCCTGGCGAGCCGTGGTCCCGGCCTACAGCAAGCGCGCCCCGCGGACAGCGAGCACCTGTCCGGCCCCGAGTCCACCCATGGCGAAGACGGCCCGTTGACCCGGGTCCTCCGGGTAAGCAGGCTGGCAGCAGTGTGCCCCGAAGAGCCGCGGGAGGCGTGGTAGCACTGACGAGTGCTCCGCCTGCGGAAGGCACGGGAGCCCGTGCTGTGCTGTGCTGTGCCATGGAAGGCACGGGAGCACGGGAGCACCGGAGCACACGGAAGAGGGCTGTGCCGTGGGGCCTGGGAGCACTTGGAAGTGCTGGGCCCGGGACACTGCCGCCATGCCTTCAGGACCAAGCCGGCTCGAGGACTTCTTCGCAACGGAGGGGGAAGTGTTGGGATCCTGGCTTCCTGAGGGCCCCCGGCACCCTCCCCCGACGAGCCGAGCTGAGCACCCCAGCAACCGAGCCCGGCCGAGGCCGGCCATTGTCGCGAAAACCATAAGAAGCGGCACCCCGGCGCCCCGGGCCCAGAGCACTGCCGACCGCGACACAAGGAGTACTCGCGCTCATCACAGTTTGACCAATAAACCACCTGCGTTCCCAGTCGCCTTTCCCTCGATCCCTGACTCGCCCCCCCTAACCCTCACCCACCACCCAGAGACAAAACACTATTTTGTATTCGGATTCAAGTACCCTTCAAAGGTTGCAAGCAGTTTAGAGTTTATTCAAAGGTTGGTATCTTTCAGGCTCCATGCTGTTCGATGAGTGGGGTTTTTCTGAGATTCCAAACGCTATGAGTATAGCACGTATGGTGCAATGCATTGAGATATTGCACCATACGAGCAATGCCAGAGCCATATTGCACCTTTCGTGCAATGCAAAAGCATTGCACCAAAGGGTGCAATGAAAACGTCTTCAAATGCATTGCACCAATTGGCGCTATACTCATAGCGTTTGGATTCTCGGTGTTGTCCTTGCAAAATTTTTATTTTGATTGCGTGTTAATGGTAATTTTTTTTCCTTTTTTAGGCAACTACTTGACATAAATCCTGAAAGAGGGAGTAAGAGAGACGGAAGAAACAAGACTGGAATGGCAGCCAAAGTGAGGACACTGACTGAGCAGCTGACTTATCATTGCAGCACATGGAGTGTTTGTAGGTTCTAGGTTCATTTCTAGCTCATTCTTCTGTTATATGTATAGCTCAATATTTTTTTTGTTGTTCAGTCATAGCTTTTTACCTCTAGCTCAGTATTCTTTTGTTTGGTGATAGCTTTATCTCCAGTTTAATATGGTTTTTCCATTCTATGAATTTTATGAATAGCTTTATATCTCTAGATCAATATTCTTTTGTTTGGTAATAGCTTTATTTCTAGCTTTATTCTAGCTTTATATGGTTTTCCATTCTATGAATTAAAATCTTGTCCTTAAACCACTTGTCACTTTACTTGCCTTCTCTCTGATTTGAAAACTATTTTTGATTTGAGATGCTGCAATGAACACGAACAGATGAAGGTGTGTGCAATTATGAATTTTAAGGGAGCAAAAGGAAATTTAGCAAATGATTACATTGAAAGTCAAGACTTCTGGTGAATTTTAAGATCCACTTTAATCTCAAATCTAAGGAACATCTTTATAACTTTCCAAAAGTCGTTGTAACAAATAAGAAGCTGTGTTTTGACTTTTCAAATTTGGCTATTAGTTTTAAGTAAGAGGCGTTATGACTTTTCAAATTTGGCCATTAATTTTAAGAAACACGATTTATTACTTTTCAAATTTGGCTCTTAATTTTAAGAAACAGTTAATATTACTTTTCAAATTTGGTTCTTACTTTTAATATGAAAAAGTTTATTAATTTTACTAGCAAAAAGTCTTTGTAAACTGCTTCATAAAAAAGTTTCTTAAAATTAAGATGGATTTTTTTAACAGTGTATGTGAAGTGCCGAAAGCAAACCAGAAAGAAACAGTAGAAAGTCAATTTCGCGTTCTTTTGAAGCAGAGGACCGATAAGAGCGTGCCCTTGCCATCCCGCATGGTTCCAGTGCGATTGGCGATGATGACTTTTGAGGAGATTCTTTAGCGTCGGGCTATGTGAAGTGCCGAAAGCAAACAAAGTCAAAGTCGAATTTCGCGTTCATATTGAAGCAGAGGACCGCTTTATAGCGTACCCTTGCGATTCCGCATAGTCCCAGTGCGATTGGCGATGATGACTCTTGGGGAGATTCGTTAGCGTCGTGCTATGTGAAGTGCCGAAAGCAAACAAAGTCAAAGTCGAAATTCGCGTTCCTCTTGAGCAGAGGACCGATTTAGAGCGTGCCCTTGCGATCCCGCATTGTCCCAGTGCGATTGGCGACGATGACTCTGGGGAGATTCGTAGCGTCGTGCTATGTGAAGTGCCGAAAGCAAACAAAGTCAAAGTCGAAATTCGCGTTTCTTTTGAAGCAGAGGACCGATTTAGAGCGTGCCTTTGCCATCCCGCATGGTTCCAGTGCGATTGGCGATGATGACTCTTGAGGAGATTCTTTAGCGTCGGGCTATGTGAAGTGCCGAAAGCAAACAAAGTCAAAGTCGAATTTCGCGTTCATATTGAAGCAGAGGACCGCTTTATAGCGTACCCTTGCGATTCCGCATAGTCCCAGTGCGATTGGCGACGATGACTCTTGGGGAGATTCGTTAGCGTCGTGCTACGTGAAGTGCCGAAAGCAAACAAAGTCAAAGTCGAAATTCGCGTTCCTCTTGAGGCAGAGGACCGATTTAGAGCGTGCCCTTGCGATCCCGCATTGTCCCAGTGCTATTGGCGACGATGACTCTTGGGGAGATTCGTTAGCGTCGTGCTATGTGAAGTGCCGAAAGCAAACAAAGTCAAAGTCGAAATTCGCGTTTCTTTTGAAGCAGAGGACCGATTTAGAGCGTGCCCTTGCCATCCCGCATGGTTCCAGTGCGATTGGCGATGATGACTCTTGAGGAGATTCTTTAGCGTCGTGCTATGTGAAGTGCCGAAAGCAAACAAAGTCAAAGTCGAAATTCGCGTTCCTTTTGAAGCAGAAGACCGATTTAGAGCGGGCCCTTGCGATCCCGCATAGTCCCAGTGCGATTGGCGACGATGACTCTTGAGGAGATTCTTTAGCGTCGTGCTACGTGAAGTGCCGAAAGCAAACAAAGTCAAAGTCGAAATTCGCGTTCCTTTTGAAGCAGAGGACCGATTTAGAGCGTGCCCTTGCGATCCCGCATTGTCCAGTGCGATTGGCGACGATGACTCTTGAGGAGATTCTTTAGCGTCGTGCTATGTGAAGTGCCGAAAGCAAACAAAGTCAAAGTCGAAATTCGCGTTCCTATTGAAGCAGAGGACCGATTTAGAGGGTGCCCTTGCCATCCCGCTTGGTCCCAGTGCGATTGGCGACGATGACTCTTGAGGAGATTCTTTAGCGTCGTGCTACGTGAAGTGCCGAAAGCAAACAAAGTCAAAGTCGAAATTCGCGTTCCTTTGAAGCAGAAGACCGATTTAGAGCGTGCCCTTGCGATCCCGCATAGTCCCAGTGCGATTGGCGACGATGACTCTTGAGGAGATTCTTTAGCGTCGTGCTACGTGAAGTGCCGAAAGCAAACAAAGTCAAAGTCGAATTTCACGTTCCTATTGAAGCAGAGGACCGATTTTGAGGGTGCCCTTGCCATCCCGCATGGTCCAGTGCGATTGGCGACGATGACTCTTGAGGAGATTCTTTAGCGTCGTGCTACGTAAAGTGCCGAAAGCAAACAAAAACAAAGTCGAAATTCGCGTTCCTTTTGAGGCAGAGGACCGATTTAGAGCGTGCCCTTGCGATCCCGCACTGTCCCAGTGCGATTGGCGACGATGACTCTTGAGGAGATTCTTTAGCGTCGTGCTACGTGAAGTGCCGAAAACACGAACAGTCAAAGTCGAATTTCACGTTCCTATTGAAGCAGAGGACCGATTTAGAGCGTGCCCTTGCGATCCCGCATAGTCCCAGTGCGATTGGCGACGATGACTCTTGAGGAGATTCTTTAGCGTCGTGCTATGTGAAGTGCCGAAAGCAAACAAAGTCAAAGTCGAAATTCGCGTTCCTTTTGAAGCAGAGGACCGATTTAGAGCGTGCCCTTGCGATCCCGCATTGTCCCAGTGCGATTGGCGACGATGACTCTTGAGGAGATTCTTTAGCGTCGTGCTACGTGAAGTGCCGAAAGCAAACAAAGTCAAAGTCGAATTTCGCGTTCCTATTGAAGCAGAGGACCGATTTAGAGGGTGCCCTTGCCATCCCGCTTGGTCCCAGTGCGATTGGCGACGATGACTCTTGAGGAGATTCTTAGCGTCGTGCTATGTGAAGTGCCGAAAGCAAACAAAGTCAAAGTCGAATTCGCGTTCCTTTTGAAGCAGAGGACCGATTTAGAGCGTGCCCTTGCGATCCCGCACTGTCCCAGTGCGATTGGCGACGATGACTCTTGAGGAGATTCTTTAGCGTCGTGCTACGTGAAGTGCCGAAAGCAAACAAAGTCAAAGTCGAAATTCGCGTTCCTTTTGAAGCAGAAAACCGATTTAGAGCGGGCCCTTGCGATCCCGCATAGTCCCAGTGCGATTGGCGACGATGACTCTTGAGGAGATTCTTTAGCGTCGTGCTACGTGAAGTGCCGAAAGCAAACAAAGTCAAAGTCGAAATTCGCGTTCCTTTTGAAGCAGAGGACCGATTTAGAGCGTGCCCTTGCGATCCCGCATAGTCCCAGTGCGATTGGCGACGATGACTCTTGAGGAGATTCTTTAGCGTCGTGCTATGTGAAGTGCCGAAAGCAAACAAAGTCAAAGTCGAATTCGCGTTCCTTTGAAGCAGAGGACCGATTTAGAGCGTGCCCTTGCGATCCCGCATGGTCCCAGTGCGATTGGCGATGATGACTCTTGAGGAGATTGTTAGCGTCGTGCTATGTGAAGTGCCGAAAGCAAACAAAGTCAAAGTCGAAATTCGCGTTCCTATTGAAGCAGAGGACCGATTTAGAGCGTGCCCTTGCGATCCCGCATGGTCCCAGTGCGATTGGCGACGATGACTCTTGAGGAGATTCTTTAGCGTCGTGCTGCGTAAGGTGCCGAAACCAAACAAAGTCAAAGTCGAAATTCGCGTTCCTTTTGAAGCAGAGGACCGATTTAGAGCGTGCCCTTGCGATCCGCATAGTCCAGTGCGATTGGCGACGATGACTCTTCAGGAGATTCTTTAGCGTCGTGCTATGTGAAGTGCCGAAAGCAAACAAAGTCAAATCGAAATTCGCGTTCCTTGAAGCAGAGGACCGATTTAGAGCGTGCCCTTGCGATCCCGCATAGTCCCAGTGCGATTGGCGACGATGACTTGAGGAGATTCTTTAGCGTCGTGCTACTGAAGTGCCGAAAGCAAACAAAAGTCAAAGTCGAATTTCGCGTTCCTTTGAAGCAGAGGACCGATTTAGAGCGTGCCCTTGCGATCCCGCAGTCCCAGTGCGATTGGCGACGATGACTCTTGAGGAGATTCTTTAGCGTCGTGCTACGTGAAGTGCCGAAAACACAACAGTCAAAGTCGAATTTCGCGTTCCTATTGAAGCAGAGGACCGATTTAGAGCGTGCCCTTGCCATCCCGCATTGTCCCAGTGCGATTGGCGACGATGACTCTTGAGGAGATTCTTAGCGTCGTGCTGTGAAGTGCCGAAAGCAAACAAGTCAAAGTCGAAATTCGCGTTCCTTTTGAAGCAGAGGACCGATTTAGAGCGTGCCCTTGCGATCCGCATAGTCCCAGTGCGATTGGCGACGATGACTCTTGAGGAGATTCTTTAGCGTCGTGCTACGTGAAGTGCCGAAAAACACAAAAGTCAAAGTCGAATTTCGCGTTTTTGAAGCAGAGGACCGATTTAGAGGGTGCCCTTGCGATCCCGCATGGTCCCAGTGCGATTGGCGACGATGACTCTTGAGGAGATTCTTTAGCGTCGTGCTACGTGAAGTGCCGAAAGCAAACAAAGTCAAAGTCGAAATTCGCGTTCTTTTGAAGCAGAGGACCGATTTAGAGCGGGCCCTTGCGATCCCGCATAGTCCCAGTGCGATTGGCGACGATGACTCTTGAGGAGATTCTTTAGCGTCGTGCTACGTGAAGTGCCGAAAGCAAACAAAGTCAAAGTCGAATTTCGCGTTCCTTTTGAAGCAGAGGACCGATTTAGAGCGGGCCCTTGCGATCCCGCATAGTCCCAGTGCGATTGGCGACGATGACTCTGC